CTGACATTTTGATGATAACATACAGTTTTACCCAAGAATCTGAAGAACAAAGTGTTCACCAGATTCAGAGTCTGGGATGGAATTGCATGGTATCTGCCAACATATCCATTCTCCCTCATCACTCTGCTCTTTGCCTTTAACCAGCACATGAGCCAGCTTGCTGGGACTTGATTTTTTCCACCTGTAGAATGGGGACAACGGGCAGTCAGGCTTGCAAAATCTTGCCCAGCGCTAGCGTTCTTACATCTTCCCTGGGCTCTCTCCGCCTCAGGGCTCCCACAGATGGGAGAGCTTCTGTAAATGAGCCAGTGCTTTTGGGCAGTGAAGATGACTAATGTGTGTCACCGAAGGGGGAATTTGAGCTCTTTGCAGGCACGTGGTGATGGCAAGAGCTGACTTAATTTCTCTGGGCTTCTCTCCTACCCATTCAAGACTCTCCAGAGCCACTTCCTGCCTTTCCATGCATTTGTCAGGATGAGAAACATTTTCAGTTACTGTCGTTTTCCTGTGTGACAACTAATATCTTTGGGGCAAAGCTCCTAGAGCTAAGTTTTCCCCATCAATCTCATTCTTCAAAGTAATTCTCTTTTCTAATACTTCTACCTTCTGCTTTCAACACACACACACACACATGCACACTCATCTGCTTTATCCTGTTTTATAAAAATACAACCAGTGGTCCCACTCTGAGTGACCATTTCAGATACAAACACAGTTTTTTTTTTAAAGGGATTTTTTGAAACAAGAAAAAAAAAGAAGAGCTCTTTTGTCAGAAGCAGGAAGGTGGAGTGTCCTTTGCAGCTCTAGGTAGCCACTGGCTTTGGCCAGTTCTTCCGTGTAAACAGCAATTTTCCAGACTGGAATGGGTGCCGGGGTTTTCTCTGTGGATCCAAGAGGTGTGGAGAGCAGTGGTGTTTCATTAAATTACGGGTCTAGCTACAAAATGTGCAGCAACGATTTGTGCAAGCCCGAGCAGCCTGAACACTCCCCACCCCCTGATGCACGCTACACACACACACACACACACACACACACACACACACACACGCACTCCCCAGAGTGCCGCCCTAGACCATAAAAGGAAGGGCATCTGCTGGGGGAGACGGCTGTCCCCAAGTGGTACTGGGCTCTTGGTGGGTATCTAGTGTCTCAAAGAGTGGAAAGCACTTGCATACAAAGTGTTTTCTACAACCCCTCCACCAAAAACTCCATGCAAAGGACATTTAAGCTCACTTTCCTAATGGATTTTGGAGTGAGCCCTCTCTGGAACAGATGGATAGCTCTTTCCATTTGGGTGCACTGTGGGGACCGCCTGCGGCCACCTGAGCATTTTGATGTGCAGTGGCCAGCTTCCCTTGCTTTGTGTGGTTAAGTACTGTATTGGTGTGAGGGCTGTGGTTTAGGAAACAGTTACCCAAAGGGCCTAGCGCAGGAAGAAAACACAGGTGGCTCTTTCCACCGTGGGTGGAGAGGACTTCTTATAACGCAAAGGACTATGGAGTCAGAGGGGGACCAGTGGTAACGTGTCCTGCACCCTGTTTCCGAGGTCAGAAGAGGGTTAAAGCTCTGGGTGGTTCCTGGGGCAAGTAGCAGCCAAGACGGAAGGATCGGGACTAGAGAGTTACCCCAGACACACACGCACACACATACACACGCACGTGTGCAGACATGGACACAGAAACTTTGATAGTATTGATAGGAATTTGAGGACCTCCAGTTAGTCCCACTGGGAGCCTGGACACGACATCTAGCCCCACCCCTGTCCTGTCCTCACCAGCAGCCCTGGAGGTGGAAGGGAAACAGGGTAGAATGTGTGATTCTAGAGTCCTCTCTGCCTGCCTCCCGTGTCCGTCTTCAGAATGCAAATCATCAAGCACTGCACAGTCCGTTTAGCAGTGATGCCGTCAGGATTCCCAAAGTAAATCACCCCATTTCCTCCAGGGTGCCCCCTGGTGGGAGGGGTCACCGTGCAGAGCCCTGTCGCCCCCCAGCCGTGCTCTCCTCTCCTGAAGCCAAGACATTGATGAGCAGCTAACCGAGTGTTGCACATCTTCCCACTGGCCTTTTCACATCTGGAAGGTTTTGATTAAACCAGTTTCCTTTTAGTGTTTGCCGTAGAGTGGGATCCATCACTGAATTGAGCTGGTTCCTGGAGAGGATGTTTTAGTAACTTGGATACTTTGGCGCAGTGTCTGGGGCCTGGGATTTCTCATCCTTCTAAAAAAAGTATTTTACAGGCTTTTTTTGGGACTATGTAGATTTATAGCTGGGTGTCTGCCCCAGTGTTTAAGGCTCTGGCATGATAGGTTTATGGCTGTTGAGCAGCTGTAGAGAGTATAAGAGGGGGCCTTTTCATTTAACCAGTTATTGGGGAATGAACATTCTGTTGACTTCTGTTACTGGGAATGAAGACACATTACTCATTTAATTATCTGGGTCCATGTGAACATTTGGAATATAAATAGGGTCTGTTCTATACCCACCTGGCTCTAAACAATGTAGAAATGGCACCATAGAGTTAATTTTATAGAATGCTTCTTCAGAGTTTCTTTAAGTTGAGAACTCCACTAATGCATGTTTGTGGATCACAGTAGTTTCTTTATAGATATTTAATTACTTGGCTGGGTAAAAAAAAAAAAAAAAGAATGAAAAATCTGAAATGAAACTATTGGGAGTCTTTGATCATCTGAAATCATGTAGAGATGCAGGAAAGTGGTTTTGAAATTACAGTGGAAGGGAATGGGGCACCAAGAGTTGATTTATCAAAGATTTTTGTGTAAAGTATCTTTCTGCCACACAAGCTCATTGTGAGCTTGAAGGATGAATGTAGTAAATGACTTTGGATTCGGTTACAGTGACCACTTACCTAGCATCTGCCTGGTGTCCTGCTAAGACACTTTGGCATATGTTATTTAATTTAGTCCTAATAGGAACCTCGCGTGGTAGGCTAATTATTATATCTCCATTTTATTGTGGATTAAATTCTACATTATGTTGGAACATAGGCTCCAGCACCTAGCACTAAATGTATCTGTTGAATGAACACATTAGGAAAGTTAGGGCAGTAAAATTTGGCAGTCAGTAAGTGTCGGGAGAGATTGAAATCTGGAGAGGGACTGATGGAGTTTCACGGGAAGGTGACCTTGTCTGCCAGAGGGACTTACGGAATGGCTGAGAAGGGGGATGGACAGTAAGGGGCAGAATAAGATGCCCACTGGTTAACGAGAGGCTCTTGGAGTTGGCGCTGTGGATGCTGGTGGGATCTTCGTAGCACGTTCTCATGTACATCATCTCCTCTCCTCTCCCGTTCATCTGAAAAGAGACGAAAAGCGATAAATCACAGCTTTAAACACACGTGTAACCACTGCATGGCCCTCAGAGCCCACAGGAAGTGTGTGGAGTTGCTAGGACCATGGCCTCATACAATAGTGCAGCAAGCCTGCTACAGGACATTCCAGATGGGGCTCCGTCAGCGGCCTGTGGTGGCACATGTCTCTCCTGGAAGATGCTAAGCTCAGGACATCGAATTGTAATGGACGCATATGACGTTGTGGGTTTTTTTGTTTTTTTTTTTTGTTTTTTTAAACATTCTCGGCTTCATCTTATTCACTTATTTTGGGGGTTTCAGTCATGCTTTTATTTATATGTTCTCATGAAACATTTTCCCCTCAGCTTTCCTGAGGTGTACCTGACAGAATTGTAAGGTATTTAAAGTGTACAAACATTATGATTTGATATGTGTGTACATTGTGACAGAATTTCTCGTGTCAGGTTAAGACATTGGGCTTTTATTATATGTAGCCAAATGGGTGAGCCCTTGTATCTACTGAGGTTTGAAATTTTTTATTTAACATTTAGATAAAATCTTCTTTAGTTGCACATTAAAAAAAAATAAAACACACACACAGCCTAGACTTAAGTGTTCGGAGTAAGATTTATTTTCTTGTTTCACTTTTGGCTCCTACCTATGATGTTTGGTTCTGTCTCTGAACCATTTGTATCATTTGCTTTGGAACTGGTGTCATTCTGAAATGTGACCACAGTCATTCGTTTTCACATCGACCACATATTTGGTGTGGGCTTCTGTGGGCCTGGCGCTGTACTTGGCTTTGTGGAGGGTACCGAGAGGAATCAGGAACTCAGCGTCTGGGGAAGGAAGTAAGAAAGACAGGATTATCAGTGACTTCTGCATTAGGTGGGAAGAAGTGGGTGCCAGGACAGGCTGGTGGGTATGGTGTTAGTGTTCAGAAGAGAGAAGGGACAGCTGGATGTGGGGACGATATAGATAGCTTGCATTTTGGAGAAGGTCGTTGGATCTTGCAGGATGGTAGCCATGGGAGATTTAGGCACAGAGAGGCGTTCTAGGGAGAAGGACTTGTATGGACAAAGGGGTGGATACCTGGGGCTTAGCTGGGCTTGACTAAAGTGTAGGGTGAATCGGGGCGAATAATGAAGAATCTAGAGGGGAAAAAGAATGAGGACTGAGCTCCAAGAGTGGCCCCTGCGTGTGGGGTCAGGGTCTGTCTTGTTGGCAGACATGAACCAGCACCCAGAGCAGCTTGGTGTAGACAGCCCACCCATATGTTTGAATGATGTCTGAGTTTCTTACTGACAAATTTTATGGTACTTTCTGGGCAGCAGATTTTTATGCACGTAATTCTGTTTTGCTCCCATCTCTTAGGTTTAAAACAGCTTTGATGTGCCACTTTTCTCTTTGTGCTAGAAATCAGAATGAAGCTGTGTCTTATGGCTTAGAGGTTCTGAAGTCTACTCTGTCTGTATGAAACTCAAGCTTATAGGTTGTGGCCTGAAGGCCTGAGCTATCCGGCGTGGCTGTCTCCAGCATTCTGAGATGTCTCAAGGGCCTGTGCCGTACAGCTCGAATTTATCTAAAATTGCCTTCCTAGAGGCACATGGAGAGTGGCTTGTTTTAGCGTCTTAGCGAGCATTGCTTCAGATAGCCTGGTTAACCCACGCCCTCCTCTTGTCATTTCTTGCAGATGGTCACAAGAACAAAGAAGATATTTGTAGGCGGATTATCTGCGAACACGGTGGTGGAAGATGTGAAGCAGTACTTTGAGCAGTTTGGCAAGGTAAGTGGCGCGTGGGGCTGGCTGCAGCCGCGCCCCCTCCCTTTGCCACAGCTGCGTCCTCAGGAACCTTGTCCTTGCACTTGGTCGTCCAGATTTAAGTGAAATCTGTCAGAAGCTGACATGGAAGAGTCTGGCTTGTGGTCGGCACGGTGCCCCACGTGCCCACAGGAGCAGACAGAGTGGCCTTGCAGTGTGGTGGTGCTGGCCACCTGGGGCCTGGGTGGTGGTGGCAGCAGCGACTGGGGAGGGATGCGGGGCTGTGACTCACAGGACAGGAGCTCCTGCAGAAGCTGCTAGAGGCCTGTGAGTCAGTGCCTTTCTGGAAGATACATGAAGAGTGGAGGCTCCCTGGGGTCCTGTGCGGTTGAACCTTCCCCTGTCAGATGCCCAAGGAGACTCGGGAAAGATGCTGGGCCTGTACCTGTCAGAATGTGTGTGAGACAGAAGTAAAATGATCCCCTGGGCTCTGTTGCTGGACCAGGCTGGGAGCAATGCAGAATGCCCCCCAGTCAGCCAGGACCAGGAGTGTGCGAGTGTGTAGGTTAAGACAGAGTCAGCAGACAGGATATGCAACCATGGGTGATGTGCTTAAATCAGCCTCTCTCTAGCTGGTGGGGGAGCTGGTGCCTTGGAAAGTAGCGTTCCTCTGATGGCCACATGGTCCCCGGGCTCCGACAAGGCAGCTTGTGGGGGAGGCTAGCCTTGCTGGCTTTGTGTGATCCCCTCCTCTGGCTGCCGTGTCCTGGGAAGCTGGCAGCTGAGAGGCTGTGCTGGCCCCCTGCTTCCCGCATCTTTCGGTTGCCATGGGTGTTGTCCTGGGAGTCCAGGTGTGCGACGGTCTCCTTTGCAAAGGTCTGCGTCCCTGCTGCCAGAGGGCTGATATAGCAGAGGGGGAGAAGACACTGCGCCTCTTCTAAGCTTTGTCACTCCTGTCTCCCCCGGTAACGGCTGTTGTGCTTGCCCTGGGTGGTACCAGGCACTGCTGCCCACTGACGGGTCTGAAGGTTCTGTGCTTTTATTTGTTTGCTCAAGGTGGTGCGCGGCTCAGACCTCGTCCCCGGGTGTGTCGAGCTGTGAGCTACTGTCTGGGATGAGGGCCGTGATCACTGTTTAGCTTCAAAATGGAGATTTTTCCCATCTCTGGTCATCATCAGTTTCTGCATGGATGGGAGACATGCAACAAAGAGGAACCAGGCTCCTCCAGCCTGGCTTGGCATTCAGAATGGCACTTAACTGCCCTTCCAGGTTGCTTAGGAAAGACGCCTTCCCATGGCACCGTCTTGCTTTGCCAGCTGGGGGCTGATTCATTCTGGCTGGTTTTGAAGAATCGCTGAGTGCGTTGGTGACCATGTACTTCTCTTCAAGACTCATTTAAAGCACCAGGGGGGATTGGTCCACAGCCCAGCCCCACCCTGCCTGTGGGGAGAGACTGGAAATAATTAAATGAGACAGGTCCAGCTTGTGTAATGGAAGGCTCGGGAGTGTGCGCCCCTTTGCTACAGTTCTGCCTCTAAAACAAGGCCAGGAGCAGTGTTCGCAAAATTGAGGTGGAATTTCTTTTTTGAGCTATAAACTGGAATCTCATGGTCCTATGTGTGGGTGTCAGAGAAGTTGGGCTGTTAGAGTATTCCGGAGACGCCAGTACCTGCCGCACCTCCGCACGCTCCCACCTCCAGGCTTCTCTCTCTCTCTCTCTCGTTCTCCTTTTCTCTCTGTCTTTTTTCATTAACACTTACAGTTGGGACCCAGTATCCAGCAGTGGGAAGCTCTGCAAGCTTTGGCCGGGCCCACGGCCGCAACCATCCCTGCCCTGAGAACAGTTGTCCCCTTGTCAGGGAGGCATTCACAGACCATCTTCCCTGGCGTGGCCTGCGCTAGGGCTGAAGCTGCTCAGTTAATTTAGCAGTAACATTTGTAGATTCCAGCAGGATGTGTAAACTTATCAGGTGTTTTATTAAAGGACTAAGGAGGCTTTTGAATGTATCAAAACCATAACACTCTCTGTGCTCCTGTTTTAGTAGCTTGTTTCATACACGTGCTCTGTGCATTATCTGGGTCTGTTTTCAGAGGGGCTTATTCCTCCTTGTGCTGGTGGCTCGTGTTATGTTCGTACCCACCTTGGGCAGGGTCCACCACCTCTGAGGATTCTGGTGTAATGCATTTGGAATCAGAGCCATCAAAAGAGAGGAGATTGTGCTGCTGGGCCTTAAGGCAGTGAGTCAACCCAATGGTTAGTCAACAAACTGACTCTGCCCTTCAGTAGTTTATATTCTGGTTGAACAAAACCGAACACACACACACTTGTGTCAGCTAGACTCACATACTTGTACACATTCCCGTCGGTAAAGTTGTTTGGGGCCCTTTTTAGTTGGTTAATGGCAAATTAGCGAGGTGGAATTTTATTAGTGAGTATGTACTGTGTTGAGTCCTGGGCTAGGCCATTGACTTATATTATCTCATTTAATTCTTCTCTGGGAGGCTGGTAGGGGTACTGCCCATTCTGTAGCTTGTTAAATGGAGTCTAGGCAGGATTGAGTCTTTGACTCAAGGTCACCTCCGAAAGGTAGAGCTGGATGCAGACTTCCCCTCCAGGCTTGTGTGTTAACAGAACCTGAACTGTGGGCCCTGTTCCAACCTCGGATCAATCCACAAGATGGGCTTAGGGTGGGGAGGATGCAAAAGAAAGGAAGAGACTGTGTCCATCCATGGGCTGGGGACAGTGCTGGGAACTAGACATAGGTCCCCTCATCTCATCTGCATGGTAGATTTTGGTGTCATCCAGCCCTTTGACAAAGGTGAGCAGTAAGGTCAGAGAGGTTAAGTCTCAAGGAACGTCACCCAGGTAAGGCAGGATAACAGCCAGAATTCACACCCTACTTCCTCGTCCTCCACATCCAGAACTTTCCATCCTTCCACGCCTCCATTCTGGGTTTGCCACCCATGTTTTAGGTTTCCCTCGCTGTCATTCCTCTCTCCTCTCCCTCTTCCCATCGTGCCTGAGGCGGCCGCTGCTTCGACTGTTTATTTCAGGTGGCAATCAAGATGGGTAAGACTGCTATCATGGGGCTGGGCTAAGAGAGTTTAAATATGTCATTACTGTAAGTGGAGTGGGGGCAGAATGACACACCGAGAGCTTTAAATAACTCAAATTGGAGGTTTGTAAACCCTTTTGTGCTTTTCTCCCACCTTCCTCCCTGAAACTTACCCCCACCACCCTAGTTAGGGATGTCATTACTTGTTTATATTTAAGATGAGATTATGAAGTGTGGCCATTGGCATAAGGATTCTGCCCACTTGGATGGCCATCCTCACCCCCTGGGTAGCTGTCCTCCATGCTGTCATTAGAGGAAAGTAAGGAGAAGTATTCCAGGCCCTCGTGCTGGGCCTGCCTGTACAGTGTCCCCACTGTGACACCTTAACAGGCCATTTCTTTTCTGGTCTCAGTTTCTCCTCTAAGGGAAGGAGTTGGAAAAGTTGAAAAGGGTCAGATAGTATATGTTTTTGGCTTTACAGGACATATGGTCTCTATCACAACTATTTAGTTCTGCTTTTGTATGGAGGAAGCAGCTATGGCCAATCCATTATTGGATGTGGCTGTGTTCCAATAAAACTTTATTTATAAATATAGGTGGTGGGCCACTTTTGTCCTGTGGGCCATAATTTGCCAACCCTGGACTAAGTTATTCCTAAGGTTGGTTTCAGGCTTGAAAATTCAATAATCTAGAAAGTGTGTTTAAACACACAGGGGCACCTGGGTGACTCAGTTGGTTGGGCGTCTGCCTTCGGCTCAGGTCATGATCCCGGGATCCTGGGATTGCCCTGCATTGGGCTCCTCCCTGCTCATCAGGGAGTCTGCTTCTCCCTCTCCCTCTTCCCCTCCCCCTGTTCGTGCATGGTATCTCGCTCTCAAATAAATAAATCTTCAAAAAAAAATAAACATACATAAGTGGGGTATAAGAATAGATAGGTATCTATCTAAGGTATCCATAGACTGTAGCCAAAACAAGATATTATCAATAGCAATGAGCATGATATAATAAGTGAAACTGTCATAACTGTGGTAGAGTTAATTTCTGGACTGCAAGATGCAGAAACAGTGAAGGGATTCTCTATTTGGAAAAAGGTGCTATTTATAAACCAGAATCTTCATCCTATGAGTAAGATCCAGGGATCTGTAGAGTATTTCCACCTCCTTTTTACATGTGCTAGATCTAAATTAATGAAGACTCAGACTTTGTGAAGTTCAGATTTTACTACAAAGATTCTTTTGCTATGAGTTGATGTTTCTGACTTTGAGGGATGTATGCTTTGTGCTAAGCTTTTTGATGCATTTTAAAATCTGATTCTCAAAGCTGTCAAGCAAGATAGGTGGAATATCTATCATGTAGATGACCAAACTGATGTGGAAGAAGGTCATGAGTTGTCCAAGATCACACAAGCGCATGCTGGGGAGAGCCCAGATAGTCATTCATTTTTGTACCATCTAGCCTCTTTTCACCGTTTATAAAAACCCCGTCTCCTACTTTACCACGAAGCAGCCCCTATACTCTGAGTGAGCAGGTTTTGTTCATTTGTCAAGAATGTTGATGTGCGGTAATTTATTTCACTGCATCAGGTTTCCTAGTGGACGTTATCTGTGTTCACGATTTTCATATGTCCAGGAATGATGTACGCAGACCATTCCAGAAAGTGGCATGTGAATGATGCTCTCGATAGGCACGTACAGACCCAGACAATCGCTCGGAGGGTTCACCACCCTGCTCCCCACATAGCCATCCAGAAGAGCCCAGCTTGGTAATTAAAAAGCACTGGGATCAAAGAAGCTCCATGTGCGTGGGTTTCCTCCTTCTCCCCTTTCGGCCCCTCCTTCAAGTACCGGTTTCTTAAATTCTCACTTATAGGATTTTGGAGATCAAAAAGAGGCCTTTAAACTTAATGAATTCTCGGCTTCGTCCCGGATGGAGCAGTTCTGCACCTTTCAGCTGTTCACCTCGATGATA